CATCTATTTTCACTTCCTGCTTGTTCTCTGTTGAATTATCCTTTTGTGATAAGTCAATGTGCAGTATGTCGCACTGAGCTTCTGTTTCCTGAATTTCCTTTTTATTGTTTTCTAATGCTTCTTCTTCATTTCCCAACCTGTGGGATGAGGCATTATTCTTGAAAGTGATCCATACTTTTTAGAACGAGGTACTCTTTTTTTCCTCTTGGGCATCCCGTACAGCACGTAATAATCGAAAGAACGCCCAGATAGTTCCCTCAACAAGTCCACTTCAGGAACTCCCTCTCGATGTAGTTGCTTCAACAGAGTATTGTGCAATACTCCTCTCTTTTTGCTTCCAGATCAATTTTCTCTTCGACGTCCGTCATACCATCATCCTCTTCACCATTGTAGGCCCCTCTAGAAGTTTGACATTCTTCACATTCCAGCACACATGCTTCTTCCTCGTTATCCTCCATCTCTTCTTCTTCTTTCTCTTTGTTCTTGAACTCATTGGCTAGTAAATAGTTATTAGCCATGACATGAGGTAACGTACCAAACTGAATAGTAAGGGGCTGATCTGGATCTTCTCCATCCCTTCTGCCTCGCTCAAACTTCGATATCCCAGAAGAACTCTCTGACAATTCTTCCATCGATTCTCCTGTACCAGTCTCCTCACTGTCTTCGAGAACATTTTGATTGGTCACCTCGAGTAGTTTAAGCGCCTTAGGACGTGACACTCCATGTTGTTGCCTCATCATTCGTCCATAATTCCGTTGAAAACGCCTTTGTTGGGTTCTAGTCATCTCGTTGAAGGGTATCACCCTTCCTGTATTATATTGGAACGAATGTCATACATTTGGTTGGCGAGGTTGCAACCTGAATGTTCTCCCATTATTTATTGACCTGAACTGCCTCTCAAAAGGCGGTCCCCTATAGAATGATGTACCTCTCCCTCTACCAGACTGAGCGTTTGAAAAAAAATTAGGGCGATAGTGATGCTGCCATATCCCTAGTTTCTCTGTATATGCACTCACTTCTCTTTTACATCTTGCACATAGGATGTCTTCATCCTTTTTAGGCTCCTTCCCCTTGACACGTACACTAGGGTGTGGCCCAGGGTCCTCTTCTCCGTTATCTATAACCAACTTGAATTTTGACAACTTATTTTTGAAACCAGTTGTCACCATGTTCACTCCAAGTGGCTGTGGAAAAGGGTTTTCATCCACTGCCATCTTCTTCTTATCCTCGAACGGAATTCGTCCTGATTCAATGGCGTCCTGTAACACATGGCGAAAAACCAAACAGTTGTTAGTCAAATGCGACCATGCATTTGCCACTTACAATATTTTTTACCCTTGATTTGTTCAGGGTTTGGCAACTTATATTTATCGCTCAACTTTATCTGCTTATCTTTATATAGTTTATCAGATATAAGATCAGCTTTGGTTGCATCGAACGAGAGCGTTCTAACCTTTTTGTTTTCATCTTTTATAGGCTCATTCTTGCCCGACGATCTAGGCTTAGCCATTATAGGACAAGTATATGCGTCTCCTTTGATTAATTCGGCCAAACACATTTTGGTTTATCGTAATACTCGTCATTAATGGTATGAATATCAAAATTTGGGTCTCTATAATAAGTCCCCTTGTTAGAATTTTTCATTTGCTCTTCTTCTCTTATTAATTGCTATTTTGGATAACCATAATGTTTTGTGCTTGCTAAAATCCTGGGCGATTCGAAGGTTTGGGGGAGAACGCGGTCATCGCTCTGGGCGATCGTAAGGTACTCCATTCGCTCAGATTCTGTGCGTCTTGCAAGATTGGACGATGATGTTACTGCGTTCGTGGGCTTCCACCGCATTCATTAATAATCATGTTTGGACACTTATCCTGGATTCTCCAATTGGACTTCACTCTTTGGGCTATTTGATTTAGGCTGCACTTTTAGTATGTCAACAACGTCAGGTATGATATTTGTTTTTCATGTTATATGAGTAGTCTCGACACTGAAGAATATCTTAAAAAACATTTTTAGAATAAATCTGATCTATCTTTATTCCATCAGATGAACTCCCTCTATGACTAGAACTTCTTGCCATGGGCAATGGTGTGACAAAGTGCAAACAGTACTAAGCTCAAAATATCCAAACACTTTGAAGTCCAACACCACCCAGCTTACTTTTTTATTTTTTCAATTTTTTTAGAAATTTTTTAAAACTAAATGCAAGGATACAGGCTGCAATCCATTCAGTATTATAGAACTCAAATCTTTCTAATAAAACCCCCAAATTATGGGCATATTTAATGCAGGAAAATGTTTTTTTTTTCCCCAAAAATTATAGTTAGTAGTAGAGACAATGTAAAACCTTTAATCTATAATATACTAAATATGACATCTAGTGATACTTATTTTTTGGACGATTCTATCTTTACTATAATTTAATTATTTCATTAATATCTTATTTTTCGCTGCTCAAGAGGCATTTAATTATTTCAATAATACCGTAATTTTCGTTTTTCAATATGTATCTAATATATTAATCATCTGAACCATTTGAACAATATTATCATTAATTATTTTGTCAACTATTTAGTTATAATAAATGTACATTTGACATATTCATTACATTACTTTCGTTTTTTAATATGTATTTAATTCTTTAACCATATTTGACAGACTCGTTACTTTTTCATTTTTCAATATGCATTTTATTTAAATAAACATTTGAATAATATCATCATGAATTATTTTGTCAATTATTTAGTTGTGATTAATGTATATTTGACATATTTATTTCACTTGATTGGATAGTAAATTAAATTCATTAAAAAAAAATTTGTAACAAAAAATGAATATTTTTAGAGTTTTCTTCCAATTGATTTATTTAATGAATGTTAAGATACAGAAAATGTAATATGAGGAAAGGATAATATTTGTTGAATGTTCAGAAAGAACAAATGGATGAATTATTCCAATTTACTTCCTCAACTATTTAATATGTTTTCACAAACTGATTTTCATTTCTTTTGAATCAAGCTTTCATCCCGCGTAAGCAAATTGTATTAATTATTTTTTATATTCTCACATCTTACAATATTATTTTTATAGCACCTATGAAACATTTTAGAATAACTTGCTACGCACATTCAAGTAAAAATAATCACCAAAAATGAGGCACAAAAGTCAAATCCCAAATACTAGTTATTCGAGTCATACTACAAAAGAGTCCTTTACAAAAATAAACTCATTTTCATGTTCAAGCGATGCTCCGAATCAATATTACCCTCAAACCAACCCTATAGAGTAGAAAAACAGGAGAGGAGATGATAGTCTCCATGGTAATCAACTCTTTTGACAAAGGGCCCTTTTATATTCTGTCATACAGCTCAAATTCCATAATATTGCCACAATCGCTAACCGTAATTATCCAATTCTATCTTGCATCACTCGTGAAAGACTTGCCTTGTGAGTTTATAATAACCAGCAGGTGCTATTGTGATAACAATTGTACAAAATAATCATATCTACGTAATAACATCATATGTTCATGATTGTGACTGACTGACCATAACATTACATTATACACTACATCATCAGTTGCACAAAAAACCCACATCTACAATGTAAAATATTCTTAAATCAGTGAACAACAAATGTAAGTCGTCAACGAAATTGAATGTTCCATCCGTCAATCCATGCCATTATGATCCAACTAAAAATGAATAGATGGATACAAAACCCAAACCCCTAGTCCGTGGGGTGACAAATGGATGGATACATTTAAGTTTTACAACACACAAGTATAAATATATGCATATATTGGATGTAAGACTGAAGAAGTGGTAGAAAGAGCACCCAGGTTTAACATGAGCCAGTAGCATGCTTCCTTTCGTGCCAATATTAGACATCAATGCACGGAAAAGAATCACTTCAGATAACAAAATAATTCTCTCATGGGGATGTAGCAACGGTTGCTCCAGTCTCAATTTCAGGGAAACCAAATTTCTCAAACAGACCCTGAAGCAGCATCAAGATAGAATATATGGTGATTGATGTTAAAAAGAGAGGACATGACAATATATTAGAGCTACATATATACTGGCATACCATTGCATCGTTGATTGCATAGGCAACACAGTAGTGCTCCTGAAAATCAGCAATTTTAGAATAAAATCATCAAACACTGAGAAACTTTTTATTTTTTGGGTGGGCTTCGTGAAGTTACAACTGATTGGTTGGTCAGGAACAGCCATTATTGCAGAACAAAGAAAACATACACGCCAAGGAAAAAGCACTTTATGAGATCTACTCGTGCATATGTGCCATTAATGTGGCTTATTATATTTACCTTAGAAATCATGCATGAAAAAAAAAACTTGACCAGAACAGCAAAACTTTGTTAGAATATCCTCGGTAATCTCAATTTTATCATGCTAAAAACTATGCTCAACCTTTTTCTTTTAGGGGGGGAAAATAATCGTTCTTGCTTTTTTGAAAAGGAATTCATGATGCAATTCGTTATTCAGCTAAAAGAACTTTTTCTCACAGTAACCTCTTCCAGCTTGACCATATAACCATATTAAACAGATAAAATTACCTCCTTAAATCATATTTAAGGGGATAAAAGAGAATTTTATCAACTTATCCCACAGAAACATTGTATTCTTCAAGTTGGACAAGACTATCAAAGAACTTCATTTCCAATGCAATATAAAAGTAACAAATTCTTGCCTGCAGCATGTGCCACTCTTCAAACTCATCAAACAACTCCAACCGTTCAATCCTGATAAAAAGAACACAGATAAGAATAAGAATACTGAAAGAGCATCTCTAGAATACATGCAGATGAGAGAGCAAAAATGCATACCAAAAATCTTGAAAGAACCAACTCTTTAGTCTTAGAATAATGACACTTTGAAACTGAAAAAATCGAAAGGTTTGTATTCTAGCAAACACTTGAAATCTTCATATATAACAGAGTTCAGAAAGCACTTCTTAATTTCTTATCACAGCAAAAATTAAGGAAAAAAATTCGATACTGAACTACCACCTGAATCATATAGTATCGTTAAGATTTAAGTTCTTATTTAAGCTACTCTTTGAATCAAAACATGTAAAATGGCCAATGGTTAATTAATGGACTTGGACTGAAAATCCTAAATTTTCATTCAACTATTTTATAATATTATGCAATTTCTTCAGCGTCCCCAAATGAACCATAAAACTTGCAGATCTTAACATTTCAATTTCTACCAAAATGTAGACCCACATATTTTAATCACATTACTCAAGCAGAACACTGCACTAGGGAGAGTTGGAAACAGTCATGGAGAGATAATATTTCATCATTCACAAAAACAAAGGTCACTTCCAATTCTAATCCAAAAAGTTGTACATATGGATGCAATGGCAAAATGCCAGAAAGAGGTGCTAAATCCAGCAGCCTCAGGTAAAAGATGGTGCATTGCAGAGGAACAACACCATTAAAAATAGATAAGGACGAAATTTATCATGAAGTTAAAAGGAGATCCAAAATTAATCCATATTTAAAACAAAACTGAAGACATTCAACTCAACAGCATTTATGATATCGAAAACAGGATTCAATTTGTCCACAACTGACGATGATATATTTGGGCATGAAATTGAGGCACAGCAGTGCACAAGATGCATATTTCAATTTTAAAGATCCAAAGCTTTCAGGGGTTCTTAGTGCACTTTAACAAATAACAATCATGAGCAGAAGCATAATATCATACAAGGAACCATAAAGGTTAAAGAACTACATAAATATAATAGCAATTCTCTAGTGCAAAAGAAAACGATTTCTACCTGCGTTTTTCTTGGGCTTCAATGAAATTACTGTACACTCTCAGCATGTCCCAGGCAACAGCTCTCTAAAGCACCTCAATAGAGATCATAATAACGTGTGACAAATATGAAACTAATTCAAAGTTGATCAATAAAGAACAAAACCCAAAAACACAGGGAAACAGACGCAAGTAAAGAAAAAGAAGAAACGCGAAACTTTAACAGCCTTTGCTAGGGAAGGGTAAACAAGAACAGAGCTAATACAACATTTTCAGTATTGCTTAAATGTGAACAGTATTCGCAAACCATTCATTTTAAAGTAAGTTACAGAATGATCGTGTTCACAACACATATAGGTTTAAATCTCAAAATCCAAAAGCTAAATCTTGGCATATCAATCTATATATTCCAGCAGCTAAATTAATGGGAAGGTTTCTGGACCTAATACCCTCCCCCACACCGTGGCTTCATTCATTTAGGTATTAAGCAAGTCAGTCCAAACTAGATGCCCACTAAGTACTAACAGACATTACTACTTTTACTTGCGAAAAAACACTCCACCCTTCCAAGAAAGAAAATTATTTGAGATGGTGAATATCAGGTGATGTTCGGGTGATGACACTCTTAAACATCAAGGCTTGTATTCTAACAGAAACTTGAATTTTCTAACCATCTCTCTTTAAGTATAAAAATGTCAATTAAATTCTACCAAAGGAGTATCTTTTCTTGTTTTCCATTTCTTTTTTCTCTCACATTCGTATACTGGGGAAGGGGACCCAAGAAGCAATACATCACGGGAGAATACCTGCCATCCTTGATCAAGAAAAAGTTTCTCCTTCGCAAGCAAAGTCGGCGTAGCATAAATGCTCAACAGTGCACAACCTCGATTCTGCAATAAAAAGCCATTATTACATCTGCTCACATACACCTCTAGAAAAATATCTCGGCAGGGATAATTATTCTCTTTTATTTCAATAGACTAGAGAACACAAGAAAGCTTCATTGGCACATAAAGTAGTATATAAAAATAGAAGATTGTATAATCTCAGCTCTACTTCTATGACTCGTGAATTTTTTAAAGGAAACCACATATGTGACAGCACATAAAAAACTGTAAGTAAGATGCTACCATATTTTGCGCAGGCCTAAAAAGGCTCCCATTAACAAAAGTAATGGTTAATAAGAGCGAGGAGATTTCGGTAGAACATGTTAGAAGAGAGAGGGGTAGACTAAAAATAACATGGCCTACGGTAGGTCTAAGAATCTAGTTGCTTAAGATCCCACAGATCTAGTACATAGCAATTTAATCGAATAGAGTGAAAAATGGTCCATCTAGCCGACCCCAATTTATTGGGAAAAAGTCTTAAAGCTTGTCTGGGAGGAGTACTTGTGGGTCCTATAAATGTGAGGAGAAAAAGAGATTCGGCCATTATAAACATTTCATAAACATTAGACAAACATAGGATTAGTTTTTTGTTTTTGTTTTGGGGTCAATATTTTAGATAATCTAAACATAACATTCTTACTCTTTGGCGGAATGTCATGAGAAATAACAGAAACAAAGGAACCTTTTTAATTTTCTTAAAATCTATTTTCTTTTCCTCTTTTGGTGCAAAAAGGAGGCCGAAGTACCTCCAGATTTCTAATCATCTGTTGACCAAAAGCGTCATCTGGATGAATCTGTGAGACAGCATGAATATGTAGTCAAGCGACTATAGCATAAATAAATTCAGTTTCCAAGAAAGCGAAAGCAGTAGAAATGGAGAAACCCAAAGAAAGATGAAAAATTGAGGATTAAAAAGTTCCATAACCTGCTCATATAAGAAAAATACAGCCGTAGAAAATGTCTTAGAAGCCCATCTGACTATACTGCGGCTTGAATCTGGATCCAAGTATATAAGAACGCATTCTGCAATTATAAATGTTGGCAAACTGATAACAACATCAGATTGGCAAGGTTTAATCTTTTTTTTCCGCATGAACCAAAACTACAAGGTGATCACTTTATCACATTTTTTCTTTTTTCTTTTTTTTTGGGGTGGGGGGTGGGGGGTGGGGATGTGGATGCAACTGGAGAGGAAGAGAAATTTGCAACTCAAAACCTAGTATGGAAGTTATCCAGGAAGAACGAGAAACATAACAAAATTAGACATACATGGCACAAAAAAAAAAAAGGACCAAATAAGAACAGGAATCATATAAAAGACTACTTTTCTGCTAAACACATCAGAGCGAGCTACAGTAATCAATCAGAGGGTCAAAAAACGAGTTTCAGCATCTTAAACCTTTCATTTGAAAGAGCTATTTAAACAATTATCTATGAGCACATCATCCAAGATCATGCATGTACCGAGCAGGGGGGAAAATCTAATACAACAGGCTAAGCCTTATCAAATGAAACCAAAATTTCTTGCAAACACATCATGTCATGTTCATTTTGTAAGCCTATCACAAAAAATACAAATACATGTAAATGACGCTTGGGGTAGAATGAGAAATAAAGGGGAAAAAAAAATAGAAAATAAATTACATAAACAAGAGCTAGAAATTTGTCCACAGACCAAAATGCCATAGAATCCCCCAAGTGAGGAAGACTAAATATTGACCTAAATCAAAATTTTACACATTGACCGAGCTCAAAATTAAATCTATGTGAATATGAAGCAACAAAGTTTTTAGTTGCCAGGTATGACAAGAATCAAGCCAAAAAGAATTACATAGACACCTTTCCTCGCAAGTTGAAAAATTGAAGTAGTTTAGAATAATATATCATCTTGAAGATGATATAAAAGAGTGACCAAATGACCTTCAGAAAACACATCAAGAATCCAAAATATTAACTTTTAAGGCGGTTCATACCACATTCATATTTTCATAATATGTACATAAGGCAGAAAATGAAGTACAAATACCTGGGATCTATATTAGCTAAAGTAACAATATCATCTAACTTCTGTAAATCACGCAAGTCCACAGGAAGTAATTTGTAGTGCTCGCTAAGCACTTCCCCTTTCTCTGCACAAATACGAAGCTTCATTGTTATGGCAAAGACACTTAACCAAAACCCAATAAAATTTTCCAACCCATGTAACCGGATTATATGATGAATAGGAATGAGGGTGGAACTCAAAACCCGAATTGGGAGTAAGAATATACAAGGGAACCAAACATTAGAAGCCACAAGAACAAAAAATTTCAACGACAGGAAACTCAAAATGCAATATTTATTGTTCAACCAATTAACAAATGACAATCACATCAGAATAGTAACTGCTGTAACACGTCACACAGTTCAAAATTTACATTTTATACTTCAACAAAACTGAATTAACAATTTCTAAAGACATGTCTACAAAATAGAAAACTTATGACAATTAAAAATTTGGAAGCAAAACTCTGCTAAGAAAATACAAATGAACTACCATGACCTTAGAGATTTTTCAACATGTACTTGCATCAGGAGAGCCTTGATCGACTTCTTTAATAATAACAATTATCCAGATGATTTTGCAAACTGATGAATCACTAGGGCCCTAGATCAATTCTATACAGGATTTCTGTTCTAGCAACCTTAAAATGCAATGATACACATGCAGCATGTGAAAAATGAAGATTTACTCCAGACAACAAACTAATAATAGTAATGCCATATGTTGATGGAAATCAAGATAGAGATAGAATAAAAATATATTTTAATTAGGATTTTAAATAAGAGCTTGATTTAAAATATATTTGATTAGATTTCATTAGATTAGTTTTGATATTTAGATATCATTAGAAGTTTATTTTCTTTTAGCTTCTTAGTTTATTTGCTCTATTAATCGAGGGCATTATTCATTGTAATGGATAACCTTGATTATATGAATAAAGACTGATTTTTCCTCTTGCCCCTCAATTCTTCCCTTCCTGGACCCCCCCCTCCTTTCTTAATCTTCAATTATTCTTTAACAAATTATTTGCATCCTTCGTCAATTTGGTATTAGATCAATTCATTTTCCTTTGGCCTAACCAACCAAGTTCATCCAACTCATATACCTAACGTCGCCTTCCAACACCCATACAAGCCCTACAACCACCCTTCTAAACCAAAAATAAAAATAAAAATGAGAAAAAACTGTGAACAGAAAAATTACAAGAATTTATATAGACATCAACAGAAGTTTTTTCAGTTCTCTTAGTTTCGGGAGAAAAAATTCAAAAAAATAAAAAATCGTACAGCTTCTGTATAGTTGCCGTTTTCAAGTTAAAAAATAAAAAAAATAAAAAAATGAAGTTTCGTCGTTTATTGCTACTCTGCTGCTGTCCAATGGATGACGCTCAACGAAGCCCCCACACAAATCTACAAAAAAGTTCCCCAATTTCTGCTCACTATAAACCATACCCAAATAACAAGCCTAAACCTTAAACCTAATCAGCCCACAAACCTACACTACCCACCTCAATCACTTTAGCCTAAGCCCAACAAATCGACCACCACATCTCCCAAGCCCAACAGCGTTCCAGGTCCACTACCCAAAAATCAACCCAATTACTATTCACGACTTAAAGCCCAACCGAACCCATTCCTACTTCAAGTGACTCAATAGGATAAATTGACATATTTCCTACTTTTTGTGATGGCCCCCCTCTTTCTCTTCTACTCCTCGTCTCAACTAGAAAGAAAAAACCAAAATTTGGATCGTTGAAAAGGAATAGGAGGGGAGCATTCTGCCTTATAAGGAAGCCCCTGAGCGAGCAGTGGTGGACTAAGAGGAAATGTGAATGATCGTGAGAGCTCTTCAAATCCTATTCGATCCGATTAGACATGTCACTGAAACAAAGTGATTCTATTCTATCTTTGTTTTCTTTTCGGATTCTGAGGTTGAGCCAGCCAATCCTAACATGAATAAGCATAGAAAGGCCCAGCCCTCCTTTATCCTAGTCCAGTTGGAGAGGGGAAAGTCCCATCCGTTCCCGAATTCGCAGAGAAATGGAACGCTTAAATACCAAACGCATGCAAAGAACTTTGTAGAAAGAAACGAAACCATGGTACCTTCTTTGGAATTATCTGAGGCTGTAACCCCTTTTTAAGGGAGGATACAGTGGCGCTTCCACAAGCGCCGAGCAACTGGGCAAGAAAAATGCTCTTAGTCGAAGCTCATACAGTGCGAGAAATTGGAACAACAAACAAGCTTTTGGACATCTAATATACCTACTCTCATGGAAGAAGGGCACAGCTACATCTCTGACTCGGAGGAATGAAAGTCTTTGACTTCCACCCACTCTTCATCTTGTCCATAAAACCTAGCCCACATATGCAGCCACCTTCGCCTCCACCTCCACATAACACAACCACATCGCCGCCATCCCCTTCGGCACCCTCATCCCCGATTGAACTCATATGCCGCCACCTGCAACTACAAAGTAAAATATCAACTCATCCATCCACAAAACACAGCTCCTGCCACCATTGTCCTCTTGTTTGATTGTAGTCATCGACAACCCACACGCACCAAGCCTCCGCTGCCAATAGCTCAAACAGCAACCACATGCTTCTAATACCTTACGCTACCACTATGAAACACCACAACCGCCAATTCCATTTCCTTCAACAATTCCGTTGCCTCCACACTCGCTGCTCCTACATCTACCAAGCTTTCACTGGCGCTGCCCTTCGTTCCAGCCTCTGTACTTCAAACACCCATCTATGGCCGATATCAATAGCCACACCTCCATCTCCTACGATCACAATCCAATTGATCACCCCAACAAAAGCAACAAACGACATACACTCCAACCACCTTCCATCTCCTCCAATCACAAGAAGACCAATTGAAGGAGTTCCTAACCACAACTTCTAGTTTACAGCATCCCATAACTCGCCAGAGCTTCGACTTCTCTGCTGCTGCCATCAATTTTGTTTGTTGCCACCGTTTCAATTTATTTGTAGAAAAAAGGGAATAAAAAAAAAGAGTGAAAAAAAAAAAGAAAAAAAAGAACTTTCTGACACTATTTGTAAGACCATGATTTGCTTTTGTGGATTGAATCGATCGTAGAATCAATTGCTGCTCTTCTACTGTAGTTGTGCCAACTTGAAAATCATGATTGGAATATATTATTTGACTCTTTTGAGTTTCATAAGGTAACAATTTCTTTTGTGTTGGCAATATACATTTATTTAGATGATTTAGCTTGTCAATTTTAAATTTAATAGATTAGATTAAAAAAATTCTTCCAATTTTTTGTTGCATTTTTCAATTAATTCAAAAAAATAATAAAAAATGTAACAATGTTAAACTCTAATACATACATCGAATCCTTAGGTCATTATCATGTCCATATAACTTCCACTTCCCAATATCATTACAATTACCTCCCATTTGGGAACTATGTTAACCCCATTCATTATGCTTTTAGGCACGTTCCATTACAACTAGGGATTTTGATGGTTAGACTGCTCCGGAAACATTTCTAGATTGGCTCAATAATCATGAAAAATTCTTTCACCATCACAATTTGAGAGACTCGCGTCGAATTGTCTTTGCTAATCAGTCACTTGCCGGTTCCACTAGTAGTTATTGGAAGTCCCTTTTACGTAATCGTCTAGATCAACCAATCACTTTGTGGGAGCAGATGAAACAAATTCTAAGCAATAAATATGCCCCAGTGTATTATCGAACTCAATTGTTAAATCAAGTCTTCTTGCACTGTAAGCAAGGTACGCCCACTATTAATGAGTATCTAGCCAACTTCAAAGACATTGCACAATTATTTTATTTATGAGGCACCCCATATCACAGCATCTAAGTTTATCGATGGTTTAAATCCTGATATTTTGCATGACACATTCCTTGACCATGATTAGGCCTGGGAAAAAATCGAAAAACCGACCAAACCAATCAAATCGACTCAACTCGAGTCAGTTCAGGTTGGTTCGACACAGGTAATTGATTTGATATGATTTTCTTTTAAACAAAATCATAGTGGTCGATTCAGTCATGGTTTGAAGTCTCAAACCATTCGTTAACCGAACCAACCTAACCTTCTTATGTTTTCACCTTTTTTTAATTTAAGAAAAATAAAAATCAAAAGATAAACTCTAATCTCATAACTATATCTCGATTCCCTCCAATCTATGATGTTGTCGGTAAATAATAGTACTGAAAATTTTATTTCACAAACTTATTATATTATACTTAGCATTTTTCTATATTCAGGCAGTCAGACTACATAATACATAAAAAAGCAATAAAATTTTTAAGTTTTTTGTTGTTCCGTCAATATTAACCTGATTTTACTTGTTAATCAATAGTTCTTATAATAAAAAATTATTTGGCTATTTTAGTTCTTGTAATTTAAGTGCATCTAAAACTCGAATAATTTCTTTTTAAAAAATTTAATTTGGACTAAAAGTCCAAACCGATTAACCAAACTGAACCAAATCAAACCCAACATTTGATTTGGCTTGGTTTGGTTCGGTTCGGTTCGGTTTAAGAGCTAGAGTGGATTGGTTTAGTTTAAAATTTGTCCAAACAAACTAATTTTGTTTTGATTTTGGATTGGAGTTGAAACCGACCCAAACCAAATCACGCCGAAGCCTAATCATGATCCATGGATGAAGCTTACCGTCTGGGCAATCATTGGTACATATCTTTTCAACTTAATCAATTGTGTACAAAACTAGACACATTACTCCAATCACTTTCTAAATTTAGTTGTGTTAATCCTCCTCATGTAGAAGAAAATGAGGCTTTTATTGTTGAACCAATTGATATTTTTGATAGTGAGGATGAGAGTTTTGAGACTTGTCTCGTATCCCCTCTCACATCCACCTTAGCCATAATTGACCATGATACAGTTCCTGAGTTATCGTTAGTATTGACACATCAACCAAACAGTTAGCCCATTCTTTTATATTGGTATTATACTTTTATTTCAGTGTTCTGGCTTGTTAGTTTTCAATCTAATAGATTAGTTTAAAAAAATTACCTTTCAATTTCTAGTTGCTTTTTTTTTTTTTTTTTAAATTACTTCCCAAAAAAAAAAAGAAAAAAAGTCAAACTCTTATACTACTCTGAATCCTTGGCTCACTATCATGATAGTGAACATTCCACTTCCCAGTACAATCACCTTCAGTTTAGGAACTATGTCAACCTGGTCCATTATCCTTCTAGGCACGTTCCATTACAACCATGGGATTCTGATGCCGGACTCATCCAGAAGCATTTCTGGATTGACTCAATAGTCTTGAAAAATTCTTTAACTATCACAATTTAAGTGACTCGCGTTGAATTTGTTGTGCTACCATGTCACTGATCGGTCCAGCTAAAGATTTATTGGAGATTATATTTACATAATTGTCTAGGTCAATGAATTGTCAATTTGTGGGATGAGATGAAATGAATATAAAGAATGCCCTTGAGTATTATCGAATTCAATTGGTGAATTAATTCTTTTGCCAATGAAGGCAATGTACGACCACTTGGCACAGTTGTTTTGTTTATGAGGCTCATCACAGTGTTTAGGTTTATTAATGGTTTGAATCCAGAAATCTTGCCTTATAACATTCCTATACCCTAATTTTTTGGATGAAGCTTACCGTTTGGGCAATCATTGGTACATATCTTTTCAACTTAATCAATTGTGTACAAAACTAGACACATTACTCCAATCACTTTCTAAATTTAGTTGTGTTAATCCTCCTCATGTAGAAGAAAATGAGGCTTTTATTGTTGAACCAATTGATATTTTTGATAGTGAGGATGAGAGTTTTGAGACTTGTCTCGTATCCCCTCTCACATCCACCTTAGCCATAATTGACCATGATACAGTTCCTGAGTTATCGTTAGTATTGACACATCAACCAAACAGTTAGCCCACTCCTGAATCTTCTTTTAAAGTAGAGTTTATTGTTACGTTACCTCAAATGATCGATACTCCTCCAGTTGCAAAGATTTTTCAAAGGCAATTATTTGCTTGCACACTTTCCTATTGACATTAATTTGCTGACTACTAAATACAGACATATGGCATTAGTTCATCATGTTGCTATCAATGTTCCTAAATTTTATGCCAAATTAATGCGACATATTATTTTCAATCATGAAATTTTTGATCTTACTTTCGATGTGCAACATAGGTTAAGAGACCCTAATGATTATTATTAATTGTTAAGTGTCTCATTGTCTTAAGAAAAAGTTTTGGAGAAACGATGGAAATTAAGATAGAGATTAGAATAAAAAAATTTTAATTAGGATTTTAAATAAGAGTTTGATTTAAAACATATTTGATTAGATTTCATTAGATTAGTTTTGATATTTTTATATCATTAGAAGTTTATTTCATTTTAGCATCTTAGCTTATTTACTCTATAAATAGAGGGCATTGTTCATTGTAATGGACAACCGATTATATGAATAAAGAGCAATTTTTCCTCTTGCCCTCAATTCTTCTTGTCTTGGACCCCCTTTCTTTCTTAATCTTCGATTATTTTTTAACAAGAGAAAAAATTGTTAGCCAACGAAAAAACATAAAAATATCTGTGCATACAAATTGTTGAAGGTTACGTCCATCTTTATAGAGTTTATGACCCATTTTGAGGAATTAATGAGCAATTGTGACCTATTCATTCTCAACAATCTCACCCTAGCTTGTTCACTAATGTCGGGTATTCACTCTCTTTCTGTAATATTTAAGTATAAATAGAAGCAGGATTTTATAGTTACACGGACTATTGATAATTAAATACACAATGATGTTGAAATCATGTTTTCTCCCGATTCTTCAATTCTCATGAATTTCTCTATGTGCATGTTCGGCAAAGTTTAAATTATAATTTAAGCTGGTCAAATATACTTTTTAACCACATAATCTGTGGATCCACTATTTATCCTCATATCATAATTTAAACACTTCCAAACAAGCAATATCTCTCTCCGACTGTCCCTGATTTTCTCTCCAATTATGCACCAATTTCATTTAGCAGAAAACAATTTTTTTGGGCCATCAGCAAGATAGAATTATGGTCATTTGCAAATATGACAGAAGATGGGAGAAATTGTACAACAGTACAAGTCAGAGTCTCAGTAAATGTGACCTAATTCTTACCTTGAGAAATTGATGCAGTCTCACCAACTTTATCCCTCAATTGACTGTAGGTTTCAATAAGAGCAGCTTTCTTACTGGTCACCTAAAAAATTGAAACATCGACAAAAGAGAAAATACAGAATTGTGAGATAAAACTAAAGATAAGTCTTGGTGTACATAAAATATGTACATGGACACCCCTCACATGAGATGGGCCCTGCCTCATGTGAGGGGGGTATGGACACCCTTATGTACCTAAATTATGTACACCAAGCATAACCCCACAACTAATCATTATAGGATTCCAATAAATGAGAAGAATGGCACTGCCAAACAAAATTAAAAGTAAAAGGTGGTATAAAAGTTTGACCACTCAAGCAAAGTTTGTGAATCCATATTTATTAATGGATGCGACGATCTCTTAAAAAATATTTAAGCCAGCACATGTAAAATACTCACACGATATTCCCGAGTTTTCCAAATTCATACCTCTATGAAGTCTAGTTCTACATACAGGTAAGGTGCTTTCCCTTCGTCCTATCAAAGAAGAATACAGTTAGCTTAAAGAAGAACAAATATTTTTCATATTTTTGGAGTTTAATAGGCATATTAAAATGAATAAAGTCAGTGACCATACCAACCCTAAGTACAAGCAAAGAGACATCAAGCATGCACCGAAGTATCGATGTAAGCCTAGTATTAAACTAACATTCTAACCACTATCTAAGAGGTTTTAGTTGGACTAGAGTATGAAGACTTCCATCCATCAAAATGGACCTTCTGAAATCCAAACACACGGTTCATCAAATATTGCCCGTAGCTCACTCAATAAGCATAGATAGTACACTACATTTTCTCTGGACAATAGATCCCCTCTCATACGTGTCATGAATGAAAGTAACTCTTCCATTCCAACCAAGTAGAGATTCGTCATTCTTATTCAAAAGGATAAGCAATTCAAGTGTAATAGCTCACAGAGGCACACGTGTCTGGGGGCAAGGTGTCTGAGAAGTGTGAGCATCAGGAAGCATAGAAATTCCAGCTCAATACACACGCCGCTTTCTTGTTTAACAAGAAGAATTACAAAACATGGAAATACTAAAGGAAACAGAACACAAAATATCCAAGCAAAACAATAAAACTTTATCATATTACTCAAGTTCACACTGACAAAAATTATTCGTGTCTCAAATGAAAGCTCAAGCACCTGCAACTGAAAATATGTTGTATCAAAGCCAGCTCCCAGTGACAGTATTTGCTTCTTGGTGTTGCCTTGCCCATCAGTATTCACTTCACAATTGAGAAATTGATGAAGAAGCTTTCTGACTGCTGCATACCGAGCAAAATATCCTTGAGATTTACAAGAAGAAAAAATGAATCAATATCACATAAAAACAAGTAACTCAGTAAGCAAGGCCTAGATAGGGAAAATAACCAAACAGTACCGCGATTAATTATTGGAGATCTCCTCACTGGTCTTTTTACAAACAAATAAACGTAGTCATCCTTCATGTACCCCTTTTTGACACAAGACCTATTTACAAAACACAGAAAGAGTTATTATAGCTTAGCAAAAACATAAATACCGTTATTCATGTTTACAGTCTTGAGAGCACCAACATCTTTACTCCAAAAGATTAAAGAATAACTAAAAGACAAGATAGGATAATCATATACCAAAATTACCTGCAACCAACATCATTTGTCTTTCTGAAAATTTTGTTCCATAGAATAAAAAAATCTTCCAAACACGGTATTAAAGACCTTCAAGCGTTTGCGTGAAAAAAAAATGTATGTATTATTCCATCAATTCATTGTTCTTCCCTTTCATTAAATCTATTCGTTTATCTTGTAAATAAATTAAAAATTCAAGGAACTAAAATAAATCTGAAGGAATTTTATTAAAAATGATATGCTATTATCATTAATCATTCGATAGAAAAATCATTCATGTTGCAAGCAAAACTGAAGCGGCTGAGTGTGTATAATGATTAAATTATGATTCTTGAATTTCATCGCAATAAACTAAGAAAATGAAAAGAAACTCGAGAGCGTGTATAAAATTAGAAGCAACATACAGTTTGCTGGCGGAAGCGTCGTCGTTTGTTCCCTGAACCGCCGCTCTGTTGCTGCGCCAATCGGCCATCGGTCTCGCCATTTTCGCCGGGAGAGAAAAAATCCTGAAGGGTCAAATCTGGTGTTCAAAACAGACTAAAGTTGCTCGTCTATTTTGTAAAGCGGTGTTTGGGACTAGCGACTTCAGTCCAACATGGACAATAAAATAAAAAGATGAAAATAACAAGGAAATTCGAAAAAGAAAAAAGAAAATTGGCGAAGGTGAGAAAATGCGAAAAATGAGATGGGGCACTCTTTTCGAGAAAAAATTTGGTGGGTCGATCTTACGATTCTACGTGGTATGATTGTCGAATAGAGAGTCACCATATCATCGGGTAAGACGGTGCAATCGCCCTATCAAAGTTTTTCTCTCTCTTTTCTCATATTGTCCTGTCTCGAACTCGTTTTTATTTTTATTTTTTTTTTTCAATTTTAAATTGAAATCATTTTTAATTTCCACCCGGTCCTGTCTACTTTGAAAATTTTCCAATAAAGCGGTAGAGGGGAGAGAGGTCATCTTGAATTGTTTTCTTCCCTACTTAGAACTAACGGAATAGTGTCAAGTGAAATTGGTGCATTTTTATGATTTAGAGGGTTGATTATAACAATTTGAGATGTTGAGTGAAATTGGTGCATTTTTTATGTGAAATGTGGAAATATCATAATCATAATGGATGATGTTGTGTTTGCATTGAGGATGTTTGGAAGATATTTTTATGTAAAAATATATTTTTGAATAGTAAATTGATGGGAAATGTATGGTTGAAAAATAAGAATTTTTTTTATTTACGTGTAATATTATTTTAATAAAGAATGTGTAGTTGAAAAAAAAAGAGAAGAAAATGTATTTTGAAAAAAATGTGTACCAAGCGAGCCATTATGTTGTTAGCATTTTTTTTAAGAATAATTATCCGTATGCGATCTTCTATGAATCCACACAAAGTTAAAAAGTATTATAATATGTTTTCGTTTGACAACAAATTTTCATTCAAAAAAATTGATTTTTTAACTATTATTTCACTATTTTAATCGCCATTTTTTACTTCTTCACTCACATGTGGAACTCACTTTTCAATCTAACAATCAAAAAATCAATTCTCATAATCACGACAAAATAGGGCAATATAAAAATTTGGAGGCATGAAGGACAGAATCATGTGAAAAAGGCCAAAAAGCATGATTTCTAATATGCAATATAAGGTTTTAGAAAAATAGATAATGGTAGATGTAATTTTATTATTTTTTATCAATTTTAAATTAATAATTACAAATATTTGTGTTTAGTCTAAATTAATTGACTTGATTTTTTCGAAAGCAATAATATTAATTAATAATTTAATCTAGTTGAAACGCCCTTGTTTGAGCTCAATTTTTCTTTTTTTAAAAATTCACCTTTTCAAAACTCATTTTTAATAACACGTTCTTCAATAAAATAATATTACACGAAAAAAAAATTTAACAGTATATATGTTCTTCATCAATCTACAATCTTAAAATGCATTTTTTTTTTTAATCCAAAATGAGATTCAAACAAGTATGTTAAAGTTATTAAACAAAAAAATGGATAAGTATAAAATAGAAAATTGAATCTTCTACATGTATCTAAGCTTTTGCGAGTTGTCCACCCAAACAGCAAATGTACAGTATACCTATCACAGTCTCTTAAATTACATTTAAATTTTTCTCTCTTCTATTTTCAATCACACAATTTTTTATAAAATAATATTATATATAAATCGAAAATTTTTCCTTTTTTTTTCAACCAATTATTATTTTTTAAAAATACTATTCAATCCGTTTTCATTTCAAAAAAATGGTGGCAAACAGGGTCTTAGTAAAACCACGTTTCTTGATTTCATTTTCTATATTTCGAAAGCAAATCCAAACCCAAATAGCAAGTGGCCACTCAGTACCTTATCCTTAACTCCTTTTCCTTTCTGCAAAAAAGCATGGCTCTTAAATCTTTCTTGATTATTTTCACATCGCTTTTCATCATCATTACGTTGACATTCATTCCAAGAACTACATATGCTCTACCTTTTGTTGTCTTTCATGGTAATTTTTTTCTGCTTTTTGATTCAGTTTGGTTTCTGTTGCAGTCAATAAGTAGCTATATTCTTCCTAATACGATGGTATTGTGCTTTTTATTGCCTTTGTAGTACTTCTACATTGTAACTTTGGTTCTTGTCAGTCAGTTATACAAGAATCACCCAAAATTGAACCGTTATGTTTGTATTTCTGCTTTTAATGGATACATTGGAATCATTTTGCTCCTCTATGTAATTTGTAAATTTTGATTGCTAATAAATTTGGTATTGGTTTTACAAGATTATGCATTTTTTGTTCGAACCATAGATCCTAAGACATAGCGATGATAATTGGCCGCACCACGGTGATCCACCTTAGTCTGGCACGGTCCTTTTTTAGGGACACTGAAAATTATCCAAACCGGGCATTGGCTGGGCACATTTTGACACCTGAAGTGTGATAATTGACAGAAGTATTCTAAACTGAATGCCATTAATATATTTCTTGAAATTTTAATGTGCATTGTTTGTTAAATCTTCAAAATTATATCCTGTCTCAGTAATGTGTTTTGCTAATAATTTTCTATATTACCTGCCAAGAACAATAAATGTATAGAAAGTGGAATCATTTGAAGCACAGCAGAATCAAGGTTTGGACATAGTAACTTCATCCCTTTTAAGGAGAATCATATTCAAATTTGCACCAGCTGTCTGGTTCTATTTGACAAATCATGTTTTTTTCAGTATTCATTGTAATGTAACCAGATTCGATGCAACTTTTTTAAATCTTCAAAATTATATCCTGTCTCAGTAATGTGTTTTGCTAATAATTTTCTATATTACCTGCCAAGAACAATAAATGTATAGAAAGTGGAATCATTTGAAGCATAGCAGAATCAAGGTTTGGACATAGTAACTTCATCCCTTTTAAGGAGAATCATATTCAAATTTGCACCAGCTGTCTGGTTCTATTTGACAAATCATGTTTTTTTCAGTATTCATTGTAATGTAACCAGATTCGATGCAACTTGTGCAAGTTCTAAGGGCGAAATACATATCATGATTGGTTGACTAGGTATTGTTCTTAGTTGAAATATAATTTTGCAGGAATCTCAGACAAGTGCAGTCATGAAGGAGTCACAAAATTCACAGAGCTTCTGAGCAACTGGTCTGGTTCACAAGGATATTGCATGTAAGCATTAAATGGTTTCAATTTTTGTGAAAATTCAAGTCTACCTGTTAAATTGTCCATTATTGTCTTCTACAATATTTTCCAACTTTTTATGGATGAATGAAGTGTGAAAAAGGGAACGCTGATGTATATATGTGCCAATGTACTTGCCGAAGATGCATTTTTCGTGTTTCATCGATTTCTCAAATTGTTTCCTAGCTGATTACAATGCTTTCATTTAATCTCTCTTCCTTTTCCTTCTATTTTTTTCCTTGCCTTTTATTGTAGTGAAATCGGCAATGGTGAATGGGATTCATGGTTTATGCCATTTCGAAAACAGGTGATTGATTGCTTATCAGTCAACCTTGTTACAATTATACTTCTCTAGAATGCTATTTAGTGATAACATAATTTTGTTTTTGTACTTTCAGACAGCCATTGCTTGTGAGAAGGTACTAAGCTTTTGATAACGCGTTTACTTCACTGAACCAGAATTCCTTTATTCAGATGGTATTTTGTGCAACTTACAGGTGAAGAATATGAGTGAGCTCAAAGAGGGTTACAACATAATTGGACTTTCACAGGTTAAAGACCATATTCAGATCACCCCAATCATTTACTCTTCTGCATCGTTTGCATGTGAAATCATTTTATTGTTCCAATATTTATTTGGTTCATTGATAGTTCTATTGGACAATCTAAATCATATTAGTTGGACTAAATGTGAAAATGCTTTGTTTCATATTTACTATGCTGCTTTTCCACACGTTGGTAGAGATCTCATTCCATTCTTGTACTTTTCAGGGCAATATGGTTGGCAGAGGAATCCTAGAATTCTGTGATGGAGGACCTCCTGTGAGTATTTGAAATTTTTACGCAAGCCCGCCTAATTCTTTTCATGTACTGTAAAGTTATGGGATAACTGAGAGCAAAATGGCATAAACATGCAGTATAATTCAACCTGAAGTGGTAACAAATCACAAAAACTTTGTTGTGATGATGTAAACTACAATAGGCTCTGTTCAAAGTGCTCTTTTTTCTATGAGGTGTCAGGTTCTACTCAGAATGCTCTTTTTTCTATGTGGTATCATCAAATTATAAATGACCAGGCACTCGCAGTATATAAAAGTGATTTTGAAGTCACCTCTAATTACCAGCTTGTTGTATATATCAGTTTCAGTTAAAGAAACATTTTCTCCTACCCTTTTTGATTTCTAAACAAAATTAAGTACTTGTATGAAATTACAAGTTTGAACTCTATATTATTTATGTTCTTAATTTGAGACAGGTGAGGAATTTGATATCCCTGGCAGGTCCACATGCTGGGATAGCTTCTGTTCCCCTTTGTGGAGTAAGTTCTCCTTGTTCCTGTATCTACTGTCCATCCTTGAATTACACCTACTTTATGTGTGAAGAAAATTATGGTTCATGCATATACATAGTTAAAGTATTTCATAGCTTTTGTTATAGTTAACTCAAATTAGAAACTATGCCCTTGTTTAACCCCTTTCTTTGGAAAAAAAAAAAAATACATTCTTAAACAGTATTTTGACACATTTCAACCACACATTCTTCAATAAAATAATATTACCCATAAATTCAAAATTTTTCTTTATTTTTTAACCGACCATTTCCCGTCAATACACTATTTAACAATACACTATTCAAAAATGAATTTTTCTCCCAAAATGGGGCTCAAACAAGGGGTATATGTAGATTTTCATTTTATGAGTTAGTCTTTATTAATGGCCTGTTTGGTTGTGATTATGAGAATTGATTTTTTGATCGTTAGAGAGAAAAATGAGTTCTATCTATCATTGAAGAAGTCAAAATGACGGCTGAAATAGTGAAATAACGATCAAAAAATTGATTTTTTGGATGAAAATTTAATACCGAACGAGGGCTAAGTTTTAATTTGTGAGGAGCTAGCGGTCTAACCTTTCATGTTTATTGGATAATAATAAATTTTAATAAATTTTGTGGAGATTAGATCATTGCCATTTAAGCCGTTGAGAAATTTGAAATTGTATTGTTACGAAAAAATAAGTATGGGCAATCTAAAAATGGTAACAAGAATACAAGATTTACGTAGAATCTAAAGACGAAAAAAATCACGGGCAGATGAGAAAATTCACTATATCAAAGATGATTACAAGAGGTGCGGCTACTCCGAATGATATGATGTGATGAAACCCTAATATACATCATATATATAATGAAATAGGTCCATTAGCCTCTTGGCCCATCCCTCCTCTACCAGCACACCCCTTTTTTTCATAATTCTAGATTCACCGCATATGTTGCACCGTGAGCTTTTCGGGTCAGGTCAAACAGAATTCGGGTCACTATAACATGCATGCCGATTAAGCAGAATAGCAACGTATGCAGCTTGCACACACTTAATGAGCATTATTAGATATAATCCTTCATAACAAATGATAGGCTTGATATATTACCAAACTGCTGCATAAAGACTCGAGGAACCAATACAAATAAGAGTAGCATATAACAAGAAGCTACTTCGCGTGCAATATGCAAAAATTTGTGTTGGCTGTAAAATACCGAGAGAGGAAGGTCCAAAATAAGAGTCGTTATTCAACCTCTGGCTGTAAAATTTGTCTTATGAAATTTGGCCTCTTGTATTTTAGTTGTTTAGTCAACACATAATAAGATACAAGAAACTCTCTTGTAACAGTAAAGACGTTTCATTGATCTCCTTTGTCCTCATGAAAGAGCCATACGCCAGCAAATTCCATGGGCAAAAATACTAGAAGGGCCCACATCATGACAAAATATTGTCACATTTCTGTGCGAATATCAACTATTAGAGAAGGATTTGAGATACTGTTTTGAAAAACTTAAGAATCTTTCAATATCAAACAGAAGTTTATGTTATTATTATTAGTTATTTTATTGAGCAATCTGCTTGTTTTCTTTTATGACGTGTGAAATTTCCAAATGGTTTATTTTTACAACCTTGATTTTGACTCCCCCCCCCCCCCCTATT